TATATGTGTACATACCTGAGGAAGCCAGAAGACAATATTGGCTATCTTCTTAACTACTTCCTCACCTTACTTTTTGAGAAAGGGTTTCTCACTGAACATGGAAGCCAGGGCCTCTTCAACACTGGAATTCCAAACCCAAGTCTCTTTTCCTGGCTCTTTCTGAGGTCCCAGGGATCTGAACCCAAGCAGCCATGCTTGCGTGGCACGTGCTCTTACCACAGAGACACCTCATTGTCCCCTCTTACTTTTTCTTTTCTTTTTTTGGTTTTCCAACCAGGGTTTCACTGTGTAGCTATGGCTGTTCTGTAACTCACTCTAGACCAGGCCAGTCTCAAACTGACAGAGATCCACCTGCCCCTGCCTCCCTATGTGCTGAGATTAAAAGTGTGTGCCACCATTGCCCAATTTGTGCTACATATTTAAACCTCTCCGTATCACCTAAAGTACCTAACACACTGCAAATGCTATATAATTAGCTATACTGATTTGTTTAAGGGATAGTGAAAGTTTATACTTGATACACATGTGTGTATAACACACACACACACACACACACAATAACCTCTCCCTATATATTTGTATTGAAAGAAGTCTAATATGACTGGTTCCTGATCTCTTATCTCCAAATTTACAGGGAATTATGATTGTGCTTGTCGTCAATCTTTTGTTAGTCTTTTGCTTTCAGGCTTGCTCAACTGCATTTTAATGTAAGCTGCAGGTGTTCAGTATATAACTGAGTAAATATTCAGTTTTAGTTGTTCTTGCTTGTTAGCTTATTTGGTAAATTTGGGTCTTTGCTCTACCAAGGATTTGATTTGTTTTTCTGGAAAAAAAAAACTATGTCCTTTCTGATGATGGATTTGGTCTGGGAAAAGAATGCAGGACTTGGAACACACTAACTAATGCATTGCTCCCAGAGATCAAGTTCTTGGGAATAAGAGGCTTAGCAAACTGAGGTGCACCCTTAACTATTTTTTACAGTAACGTGTTAATATTACAGCAATTTCATAAGACATGTATCTGTTAGCTATATTAGAAATCATTTGGAGCTTCCCATAGATCCTTTCATGTCCAGGCCTTGGATTCCCTAACCTGCCACAGTGGATGTTCTGTGATATACATTTCTTCAAGTCACAATATTTTATCATTGTCAAAAGAGAATTTAGGAGTAATTCGGTCTCACCCATCCAATTCTGCAGTGAAGGGCACAAATGGGAAATAAAAGATTCGAGACTTGACCCATGTCCACTGCCTCAATAAGAAGATACCCTTCATATAGGTTTTGTTATATAAAATTATTTTATTACCCCAAAGAACAAACAGTAGCTATGCCACATGATGAATTTAACATTGACTGAAATACACGGTCAATAATGATGTAGTTAAATTTCTCAGTTAAGTGAAGGAAATTAAACTTAAAAATCTTTTCTACTTCTGCGCAAGAGTGGATAAATATGCTACAGAGAAGTGTCATGCTTCTTGTGTCATGCTTTTGATTTTCTTTGTTTGCATTGTAAACCTGATATTTGAAGGCATAGTGGTGCTTACGCGCCTGTAACCTCCGCACTCCAGCTCGAGGAGCGAGAGAGCAAGTACAAAGACCTTCACATAGGCAGTCAGCCAACAGACCAATCAAATCGTGACTCCCTGCTCCCCCCATTTCAGTGTAAGCATCCATGCTCCTAATTAATTGAAAATACATAGAAAAGACCTAAATGCCAGTCAGGCAACTATATAACTACTGCTCACCCCTCCCCCATATTTACTGTGTTCCCTACTGGGTTTTAATGTCTACTTTCAGGCGATGTTGTTTATTTATATGCTCGACCTTACCCATATGTGTTCATATGCTCACTAATGCTGGTAAAGATCATGTGACCAAAACCTGACCATCACATACAAGGAAACAGTTTCCTTCAAATAATTTTAGAAGAGAACACAGCCGATGTAATTATGTGAGATAACGTGGCTAAGGAAGAACGAACTTCAATTTTAAAGTTGATTTAAATGACAACAAAAATATTAACCTCATGTCATTTATTTGATAGGTGCTTCGGATTCAGAACATTTTATCCGAAGAGCCCAAAGTAACTGTGGTTTATGCAGAAAACGGCACAGTGTTGCAAGGTTCTACAGTTGCCTCTGTGTACAAAGGGAAACTGCTGATTGGCACCGTGTACCACAGAGCACTTTACTGTGATCTATGACAAGCTGGCTGCATCCATGTCATGGAAAATAAGCCCACCATTTCCATCTTTTTCCATATCAAAGGTGCCTATCACAATGATCTCTGCTGCCTACTGAATGCTGACATTAAACTTAGACATAAGAAGGTGTGAGAGTGTTTACTGGCCACAGATGTGAAAAGCAAGGATTTCTTTAGTTAGTCTTGGACTACTTGGAAGACCTCAGTTACCAATAGAAACTCTTTCACCAAAATGACTAAATTTGTCAAGTCTACATAATTTGTGCTATGTTTGAAATGCTCCTACAGGCTTGTATGCTGTACCTTTGGTCCTTAGCTGGGGGTGGTATTTTTGGAGGGGTTGGGAACTTTAGGAGGTGGAACTCCACTGACGGACGTATGTAACTGGGAGGAATGTGCTCACAGATTATTTCTGGCTGACTCTCTGCTCCTCTCAGCTTCCTGTTGGCTTTAAGGTGGGCTCTCACCAGGTTCTGGGTCTGAGTCGCTGTCTTATTGTAGGCCAAGAAAGAGTGGAGTCAGATGTGGACTGATCCCTCCAAAATGAGCCAAAATTAAGTTTTATCTCCTCTGAGTTATACCAGGCTGTCTGTCAAGGCAGTGGGAAAATCAGCAATACCTTGTATGTAACTCAAAACACATTTCCCCGGTAATACAATCCCTGAAACGAGAGGAGCGGACTTCTGCCTCACTGTTGTTGAGAAAACAAGAGAGTATGGCCAGCTCTTGGCACTCTTAGGTCACTTAGGTACTCTTGGGTCACCAAAGTGTCATCATGAAGACAACTCTCAACACCTCATGAAGCCAATGGATGGCCCAGCACTGCCAGACTGCTGGTCTCTTTCTTTCTCTGTGACTTCCTCCAGAAATAGAAACTGCAGCTAGCTGCTCTCCTTTCTCACTGGGCTTTTCAATTTTCCCATAGTTATGTCATATAGGAGACTCCTATATGAAAACCTATATGGAAAGGTTCTCACACTGAAACATGATTTCTGTTCTCTTGACACATTATACATTCTGCTTACGATGTCCCAGAGAATGGGAATTTGCTTCTTTTATTATGACTAGATTTAGGAGTAGTCTATAACCGATTCCACGTGGTGCTGAGTGCCCTCAGGTCCATGTTCAAATGGTGCCAGGGATAGGCTTTGTTTTGTTTTGTTTGGATTTACCTACTCTAACTTGCTATGGAGACTGAAAAAAGAGAAAAAAGGATGACAAACATTTAAAAACAGAGAGAACAACCTTTGGCGATTTTCTGAGAGGAAAATTTCACTTTTCTTATCTTGGCTGTGGAACAAGAGATGGTGACACATCATTATTTGCCTGTTTTAAAGACAGACCCTCAGGGTTGAATTACTTCTTTGGGACATTAAAGCAGCCACTTTATAGTTCTTAGACAACAGAACTATTGTCTCACAGATTATGAGTTTTTTTTTTTTGAGGGGGATGTTTGTGGGGGTTGATGAGAAACTGAAAAATTTTCATTTACGACAACACATTGGAAGTATAAAACACAAACAGTTTATGCATCATGATGTATCTATAATTTTAGACTTAGGATACTGTGGCAGTGGGATCATGAAGCAAAATCTCATCTCACGAAAACCAAAATAATAACAAATAAAACTTATTTTCATAAAAGAACCACTTTCATCACATTGGGTTCTAAGTGATTTTAGTCAGTTTAGTACAGGCCACCAGGTATTCTAGTGTTCCGTTAGTCAGTGATAGCAGTTACACACAGCCCAGGAGGTCTGACTCTCTGCAACACTGGTTATAACCATCCATGAAAAACCTCACATGATTTTTTTTAATGTCTTGACTAGCTAGCCATCACCATACCACCAGTGAAATGACCACACCCTCTTTCTGTTTATTGGTGAATCAAGCTGATTCTTCAGAAAAAGAGAAGGCAAACAAAATGAAGTAGCATGCATCCACAGCTGTCCAGAGAGGGCAGACTCTGGGGAGGGGTGATGTGCATCCACAGCTGTCCAGAGAGGGCAGACTCTGGGGAGGGGTGATGTGCATCCAAGGCTGTCCAGAGAGGGCAGACTCTGGGGAGGGGTGGCGTGCATCCACAGCTGTCCAGAGAGGGCAGACTCTGGGGAGGGGTGGCATGCATCCACAGCTGTCCAGAGAGGGCAGACTCTGGGGAGGGGTGGCATGCATCCACAGCTGTCCAGAGAGGGCAGACTCTGGGGAGGGGTGATGTGCATCCAAGGCTGTCCAGAGAGGGCAGACTGATGAGGGATCGTTAGCACACATTCCGTAAAGGGGAAAACAGGTTCACTTCATTTATTCTGTGAGGTCAAGACAGAACGCAACGAATAGCCTTCATTTGTTTTATCTAAGCTTTCTTAGCCTTGGAGAGCTTAGAATGAAATGGCTTAAAATAACCTGGTGCACGAGCCTGAACTTGCTTGCCTCCTGTTATGTGAGACTGACTGCTTAATGGATGTGCCATCCGCCTTTCTCTGGCTGAGGAGCACTGGAAAGTTGATGGTGAAGCCGTGACAGAGGACAGCAGAGGTGGACAAGGGGCTTCGTCTGGAGGCCCTGCTCTCTAACTTTATGCCCAGTTCTTTATTGTGCTTTCAAGTGTAATTCTAGATGCCAATTTACACTTTGCCAGAGTTAAAACTTATTTTTAGATTCATTTCCATGAAAAATGTGCACTTTGCTCTTGATGGATAGATATGTTTTGATGGTTCATGCAGGTTTGCCCAGTCAGGGCTTGTTTCAGTTGAAGGTGGAAATGGAAGAGGAAAGAAAAGAAACATACACTCTGTCAGATGACTGTATTTCCTTTTATTGCATTCATTATCTAATAACAATAATACTCATTGGCAAGAAATATATTTACACTAACAAATTAAATTTAATCACAGGTATTTTTCAGATGGTCAGAAAACAATGGGCCACTTACGATATAGTTTGCTTTGAATGCCTCTGAAAACCAAAGAGTAAGGAATGCCATTTGAAACAGTAGACACTAATCAAGCACCAGAGAACAGATCAGATGTGGCACTATTGTCTCTTCCATGCAAACAATCAGACCTTAGAACATACAAATTAAAATTTCAGGTAATATGCTACCCATACTCACCAGACTCAAATGGTTTTCAAACCACTTCTTTCCCTTTAGCAATATATAAAGAAAGATCAAAACAAATAGCATCTTATGGTGAAACCAATTCTATGCTCCTTCTGGTTTGCAGCTGCCTAGTCTTGTCAGTGATATGTAGTAGGTGTACAAGTGGCTTCATCAAAACATCATTGAAAAAATACAGAAGCAGTGGTTATGACATTAATACTGGGGAGGGTATAGCATACATGTTTAGAGATTTTATTAATCACTGTTTGAACCTAATGTTGCTGGGAGGTGTTATTTAGCATGACAATCACTTGGGAGGTGTTATCTAGCTGATTTTATGTAAAGGTAATTTAAGGTATTTTTTTGCTAATTATTCTTTCATGAATAAATACTTAAATTCTTAACAAGAAATTTATGTGTGCATAAAACTGCTGAAGGAATGCACACACCTTCCAAAGACATATACTCATAACCCATTGTGTTATTTTTGATAGCAACCAAAATGCCATTGCAGGCTGATGGCATAGGAAGTAAATAGTGGTCATATGACAGAAATACTTGTCACCAGAGAGCCAGTAGTTAGTGACATAAGCATCATGGCTACTGCAGACCTCACTGTAGAGGAGAGAGAGCTGACACACAAGAACACACAGTGCAGCTTCTAGCAAGGAAACCGTGGCCTGCAGGTGAAAATGCCCACAGCTGCATAATATCTTCTGATTCCTAACTCTAAAAAAGTGCAGTCTTGACATCAAAGCATTAATCAGACCTTTGAGGAAAATTTATCTTACTAAAATATGATACCAAAGATCTAATAAATCAGTTTTACCAAAATATATAAACATTTAGAAGCATAAGTGCATTTAGTAGGATACTTACATTAAAAAAAATTTCTTAAAAGCTACAAGCCATTCAATGTTTACACAACACAAAAAGTGGAGATAAGGCTATAATTGCAGCCCAGGGTCCTAACTATCATCACTGTAGTCCATGGATAGAATATTTTTATGCCACGTGCTTATGGTATATATGTGTGTGTAAGATTGGGGACAGAGTCACACACAGTTCTGACACCTACACAAGTGGCATGCACATAGCTGAGAATTTGTGGCTTGTTCTCTTATTCCGTATGTCTTGCACAATGCTGGATCCCTAATGGTCTGGGGTTGATGGGGTTAGGGCTAGGAAGCATGGAGTCTCTCTTGCTCCCTATTCTGAGGATACAGAAACAGGTCCAGGTGCTCACAAGTTTGAGTCTTCAGTACAAACATTCTCCGACAATCCCACACAGACACCCTTGCACAAACAGGGGAGAGGACCCTAGTGCTCTCATGAATGGAACTGGCGTCACTTAGCAGGGGCAGTTAACTGTGTAGGCTTTCCCTTTCTCCTCTAGCTGCTCAATGGAACTCCTTCAATGCTACTCTTCAAGCCATGAAAATGTGTTTTCTCTGGTGTTATCCCTGCCCCCTCACCCGATGTTGTGGCTCAAAACTAAATTTCATGGGACTTTAAATATTCCAGACAAATGCAAACAAAGTCAGCCAGCACATTCAGTCCGATATTCAGGGCCGAATCAGTGAACCAGATTTCCAGCAATGATGTTTTCTATTGAGTCTGTCCACTCCTCTGTCCTATCACAACGAGGACAACTTTGGAAGCACGGATGCTTTATTCTTGGGCTTCACCTGCACAAGCTCACCTTCAGAACTGGACACAGGTAACCCTGACTCAAGTAAGTAAGAAAACACTTGAAAGTCAGCTCTGCTGTTCCCTAACTACTTTTCATTCAGGTAGTCTTAGTGTGTGAGCCTGTGACACGCCTGGCCCCCAAAGTGAGATCTCCTTATCACCAGCTCCGTGGGAAGAGCCTTTAGTTGCTTGAGTGTTAATTCTGAAACATCTTAGTACACGAGGGAAATGTGCATCCAGTGGGTAGAAGTTTCTTTTCGAATCATTTGTCCTCCCCTCTCCTAGAATCATCCTAAACCCCCTTGCTAAATGTTGATGGCCCTCCTCAAATTTCTCTCACCTTTCAAGTTTATAAATGACTTAGAACAGCTGTATAAATGCAATTTGTCTACTTCTTATATACTTCTCAGGTACAAGTTAATCCTATTGGACAAAGATCCTAGATGAAAATTTTTTATCTTCAGTACAACCCATAGAGACTCAGGGGCTAAATCTGACCTGTGGGCATTCTTGCAGCTTAGGCCTGAGGTGTTTTCTCAGGTAAATACCATCTGGTACAGAGAGTGGCAGGAGTCCCAACTTCTCCTCTGCCACTTCATTTCCTAAAATAAAGGAACACAAGGTAGGTATGCCCGTTTGGTGCCTGTTGGAAGCTGAATTTGGCATTACCTCCTGTCATACTGGAGTCAAACTGCTGTGGTATTTTAAAAGTCTACACTAGGTGGCAAGTGGGAAGTTCATGTGAACTCCAGCCAAAGGGCGACAGATCCCGTGGGAAGAGCTTTGCAGTCAAGGCGGCGAAGGCGGAGCACCACAGTGGGTAAAGCATGGCCCCCACTCTAACAGAACTTCCCTGACTTACACATGTGCGCATGTGCGCCACTGAAAAGGACTCGGTCTTAGTGCAGCAACCCGCTACGGAGTTCTTTATTGGAACCCTGGCCCAGAGCATGCACCTGTTCTACCCACGGCAGGCCTCGCCATGTATCCCCATGCCCAAACATCACCTGTACCCCAAAACGCTTTTGGTGACTGGTGGAGTCCTATTGAGTACTTCATTGGAATACAGTTCACAGTCAGCAGACATTCATTCCCTTTTTGTTCATTTGTTGATCATTTAAAAACCTTCCAAAATCTTTAATGTCCAGAAAGCGACAATTCTCTGTTAAATTAATTGAATAAACCCAGAAAACTACAGTATCAAAGAAGGAATTGTGCAAGACAGCGGAAACTCAATTATCATCATGCACCACAGTCAATCACAAGACTAAACGGGAAAATAATTGCTCACAGGATCTGAGTGCCTTCACTTTGCTGCCACACTGCACCAACCAGCGTATGCTCAGCCTGTGCTGAGCAACAGAAGAATCAAGAGCCTTTTGCAATTTTACCAGTTTTTAGTAGCAATGTTAAAGGAACTCATTTTGGTCTAAGATTGTGATAATTTAACTTAAAAATCAAAATGGTCGAAATCTAAACTAAATGACGTAATGAGAATAAATTTTATTTCTAACTGTGATATAAATGCTGATCCAAGCGCTGAAGTGTTCATAAAGTTGCAGTAAGAATGCTGTATTTAAGAAAAGCAATATAGAAGATCATAAGGTACAGGCAGAGACAGACTATAGACACTTCGAATATATACATTTTCAATTTCAAATCATCAAAGTGTAACCACGACTGAAAATGACCGTCCGTCTGTTTTTGCTCTTATAAATGAACACAAAGAAGCTTCCAGTGCAATCCAGGTTCGTTTTTCCCCAAAAGAAAAGAAAACCAGGTAAAATTTACATTAGCAAGCCATTAGTATTGTCTGATTTTTGCTAGTCTTCTGGTCTTAGGAAATGTTTGCTGAATTTGTAGTTAAGTAATGTGTCTCTTGGTTTCTCACCATAATGAGTGGCCAAGCATCAGACATCCAAAGACATAAACAGGCACCCAGTACTTGACCCCAAGCAAGAACCATGAAGCAGGTCTGGCAACTGCAGAACACTCGGCTACTTCCACATCATGTTTAGGACTGATATGTCTGTTTTGGAAGGACCAAAACCTAACAGAAATACTGTGGGCCAGAAAAAGAAGTAGGCCCTGGGAGAAAGAACAGGATTAAGTTACTAGTTCAGATAATTTCAGAATTTATATGTTTCAAAAATAACAATAAAAAGAAAAAGTCACAATGTTACAGTTCAAAGTGAGGTCCCAGAGGCAGCAGAGCCTTGGCCTCACAGACACCTGATGCAGACTCTGCACATCCAGAGGAGACATGCACAGGGTTGTGGGCAGAAGGGCCTGTTGGAGTGAAGGAAGTAAAATATGTCCCAAGAATTCGCCTAGCCTCCAGCTGGACTTTAAATTTGTTCACTGTAAAGTAGGTAATGTCAGCTTTGTAGAGTCAATGCAGCAGCGAGAGTTAGATACAGAAGCAAGAAAGCAAAGCTAAAGGCAAGAAAATAAATAAACCTCATGGTTTGAAATGTCTCAAGACGAGTTTATTTTCTCCTCTTCCTGCCCAACTTTCCTGAGTTAGCTTGGGTTGGTAAAATACCGAAATCCTTAATGCTGGAATTAAGGACAAGATCTTACACTGCTAAAGTCCACCCCATGTCTTACACAAGTCTGGAAAGCTCTAGAATGTGGAAGAGAATTGCTTAGGAAAGTTATTCCAAATGTCTCTGAAATGTAACCGACAGCAGTCCTTCACAGGAAAAAAATCTCATGTGCAAAAAAAAAAATAAAACAAAAAAAAAAACTTAAAAAAAAAGTCTCTGGTTGACTGTTACTCAAATCTCAATCTCCAACCAGTATTTCTAGTTTTAAGTTCTTACATTTGTTAAAACACTAACTGAGCCCACTTGGGAAATTCTGAGTAGAAAATATGTGACAAGTCCCTGACTGTATCATAGGCAGGCTGAAGACAGCCATAATGTGTCTCAGGAGGGGAAACCTGAAAACATTCTTTCCTTAAAATCAATTTTCTGTCCAATTTGTAGGGAGGGAGGGGCTGTATTGTGTTTGCTAGGGCCACTGCACCCTGGGCTCGCTGGGCTGGCCAACACACCAGCGGATCTTAACATCCATGGCTGCACTAGGCTGATATTCTCTTCTTTGTTGGACGATACATGAAGGAAAATGCTGCCCCGACCCCCCGCAAGCCCCTTAGGACACCCACATCTGGGTTCTTAAGACTTTTTCATTTTTTCTAGAGTTAACAAATAGCTACTATTTTCTCTCCTTCTCTGATTCCAGCAAATGGAATAACACTTGCTCTTTCCCTCATTTGGTAATTAGGAGCTGGGCGCCCACATTCCCACAATGGGGCTGACATCTAACATGGGCATTGAAGAGAGCCTCGCTTACACACTGTATCAGGATCTGCAACCCAGGAGACAGCAGCTCCCTCGTCTCAAGGCAGGCATCCTCTGCACACAAACAACCACAGCTACTATCTCAGTTTTAGGGGCTCTCACTGCAAATTCTGGGTAGTCCATTCACAACACCAGAGTGAATCCTGCTCTGATTGGCTGGGTCAGGCTGGTTCTCTCCGTGACAAGATGCACTCCGCACAGCGCGGGATGTTGGTAAGAAGAAGAGAAACATGATATTTCTGGTTTGTAATTAATCAATAAATTAATAAAGCAAAGGTGGCTTGGGGTTATTACGTTAGAATTAGGTGTGAATCCAACACACAGCTCTTTAAACTGCCTACAATGGCATTATCCCCACCAGTTTCTTCCTCATCCTCTTCAGGAGCAGGGGGACAGGAAGGGGCGGGATTTCCCTCAAATGTCCCCACAGGATTACTGCTCAGCGTTGCTCTCTGTCGTGGATGTCATCTTTTCTGATTTTTTGGACTTCCTCTGCATTTGTTCTTGTTCCCTTCTCCTCAGTTTTTCTCTCTGTTTTTCCATTTTCTCGTGGGCCTTCCGAGCCTTCTCTAGAGACATCTTCATTTCCTTCAGTTTTTTTTTAACCAGTGCCCGGTCCTGGGATGACGTCATCCCAAGAGCCTACAAAGGAAGCACACGTACAAACTGAATCTGAAAATCTGCTGACCTCTTTGCTTATGATGAGGAAAACATCATGCTATGCCTAATCTCATGACCTTAGTTAAACATAGAAGGAGGAGGTCAGAGCTGAGGAAAGGCAGACTACACTTGTCAAATTCTGTATGCATGAGGATCTGAGCTTTGTTCTTTGAAGTTCTTTGCAAAATACACTCCAGAAGTCATTAATAAAATGCTTTCCAAATTGGTGACTAATGAGTGAATAGATGAAAAGGGCACGATCCCTCTTCAACCTTCCGCTAAAGTCATCAATATCTTCAAAGGGAAGCGGAGAGCACCTGCCGTCACAGAAAGCTCCAAGAAGGGCAGGAGGAAGTGAAATGGCCTCTCTATTGCCAATGCAGTTATTTACATTCAGAACCAAAAATGTCTTTGAGACCAGCATGCCCATGTCAACATCTCTCTGGTCTTTGCCTTCCCAAAGGCAGACCTATGGATGAAGCCCAATTAAAATGATGAGGTTGCTGGATGAGCTTAGAATTCAGAATCAGGGAAGATGGCTGTGTACTTTAAATGTTCCATGACCTTCAGCATCAACAGCAGGATGCATCTGCCTCCCCAACAGGGACAGCCTTGTCGATGGGGCCTTCATATTCACAAGCTATTGATTGATCTCTAACCTTTTCAAAGACTGCCAAGAGACACTCATCTATCCATCAGCCTCGCAGGAGCCTGAAGCAGTGGGGAGGGGTGTGTGGAACTGGCTGTACCCTCCTCTTGCCCTTTCTCCATAGGGTTGGGCGCCACCTCAGTCTTTAAGAGGGATGGGCTGGATGAGTGGAAATGAAGGTGCAATGGGGGTGATAGGGAGGGACGGCTTGCATATACTTGAGGGAGAAAGTTGGGGAGATCATTTCAGCTTTCAGGTAGTGGGTACGAGAGGGAGCATGAGGAGAAATGAAGAAAGAAAGATTCACACTGGCCATTACTAAAAGTTAATAGTACGATGGGAAGCGAGTAGTGTTAATATAGAGGTCCTGTGTTGCCATGGGAAGTAACGGAAGGGTCCCTAACCCTCTTGGTCAGCAGCCTATCCTGAATCAGAACCCCTGATGAACTTCCTAAAGCTTCATTTCCTACTGAGAAATAATCCAGTATCTTTTCTGCTGGGTACCGACAAAAATACCACATGGATATGCAGAACACTCTCAGCTAATGAAAATGTCAGGTGTTACAAATAATACACATAACTGGTAACCTAACACAGACAGAGAATTCTTTACCTTCAGTTTATTGCCATCCAGCTGCAGGAGCTGCTCCCCAGTGATGTTCTGGGCACTGAATTCAGACACATACTGGTCCAGATTTAGGCTCATTAACCAGTGAGAAACCTGCTGCACACTCCACTCATGAATGGCCCGATTCAGACTCAGACTGTGTTTGGGAGACTGTCCATCATCAAGAATCTGAGATAGGAATGTATGCAGTGTTGTTAAATGACCAAAGCACCATGACTCATAGTATGCTATCTCAAGCTACAAAAGCCATATTTATTTATAAATCATAAAATGGTAATAGTTCTATTTATGTTAAGAATAACTTGTCTATTACCTAGCAATTCTGATAGATGGAAAATGAAAAATATTCTACAAATAAAGCACCACTGCAAATGAAGAAAGTTAAAAATTGAAAAAGTACACACTAACACTGATGATTTTTATAATACATAACTCTGGAGATATTATCAGAGGTAAAAAATAAATATTTTATAGATCTCTATATTCAATACAACACTTTAAATTTATCCTTTTAGAAGACACTAAAGTTACATTAAAAACACATTAAAAATATTGTCTCCTTCACTTTATAGAAAAAGGTCTTAAAGTCCTCAAGCCTCCTTAGGGAGATTTCACAACCATCATTTCATCTGAGCAGGAAGCAAACCTATGAGGAGGGCACAACACTAACATCCACAATTAATTTTAAGACAGGAGAAAGCTAAGGCTCAGAGAGCTTCCGCGATCCCTCTGAGACAATGCATTAGTAAGTGGCGTTGTTTAACAAGAGGCTCATTGCAAATTTCAGGCTCTGTCCTCTGTCCACTAACTATCCCCTTTATTTGTACAGAGGCAGGAGAGTGCCTAGAACCACTAAATTGAGAGAAGATGCAGTCATGACAGGGCTCAGAGGAAAGACAAAAGTTTCTCTGGGGAGTTACTTGAAGAGGAGAGAAGAGAGGAGGGTGTAAGCCAAGGGGGAGGCAGAGGATGCGGGAAAGAATGGACCATGTCAGCCGGAGGCTATGAGAGATAAATGAGGGGCCCTGGAGGGGGACTCAGCCTCTTGATCCAGGAACATCTCTTACTAAGATGTAAGGAAGTGCCATCTTTCCCTCCCTCACACAATGTTCTTGTAGTGTTGAAATGAGAAAAAAGCAAGTTCCAACCAGACAAGGCAGCACACACACCCCACAGATAGCTCACCTCATCGTCTATCATATCCAGGCTCTGGGTGAGTAGCAACAAAAGAACCAAGAAGAAGAGTGTTACAGAAATGGGACACACAACATCAACAGTGCCCTCTTTATTACATCAAAACCAAGCCCAGCTAGAAAAACTTGATCAGAAAAGTTTAAAAGGAAAAAATGTAGTCTCGTTGCACAAAACTCATGCTATAAGGAAATAAGACCAATTATTTTATAATTAAGAGGAAACATATTTTAATTCAATTACATTATTTCCTGCTCCACCTTTGACTCCCACCAGCTTTTAACTAGGCAATCCCAACATAGCTTTCTGCTGCTCTCCTACACATACATTTCCTGATAATTCTTAGCAAGGCTAATCCTCCCTGTAGCATCTGGATAGATGGGTCTAACTCTATTTTCTTTACAGAACTGTGCCTAATGGTTGCAATGATTCAATTGGGTATATCACGTTCAGAGGACTGTCAAGAGCCTGGGGGAAGGGGCAACTCTGGATGAGGGAAGAGGGAAGGGGTAATTAACAGCTCCTGAGAGAGGTAAACTGTTACCTAGTCTTGTTCTCAGTGCCCAAACTCCCTGCCATGTATTTTCATGTATAATGGGAGGTCTAGAAGCTTCAAAGGGCTCAGAAATGAAACTTTTCTTTAATGTTGAGGAAGAGTGGGGTGGAATCCTGAGGACCTTATGCTAAACATAAAACCTCAGTGCTGATCATTTCTATGCTACATCTACCCTCAAATATCTCCCCATAGTGGGAAATGGAGGAAATGTGTGACATAAAAACTGAGCTCTGCCATGGCCCCACTCCAGTACCTCATCTGAGGACAGTGCCAGGGACTGGGAGAGCCCTGGTGTCTTGGGTTCTGCTCCTAAGCCACTCAGGTCTGCCGAGCTGGTACTACTTGGACTGAAGTCATCATTAAAGGTGAAATTCTGTAAAAACAAATAAAATAATGTTATGGGAACACACAGAGCGAACTAGAGACAGGTGTGCTTCCAAGCCCTCAACTGCTTCACTTCCATCAATTTTCTTTAGAAGAGACTTGACTTTGGCTCGGCGATGATGGCCTTCAATTGGGTACAAGCAGAGGATGCTGCACCTTTTGAGACTAACTGAAAATTCCGGGCACTTTCTCCATCTGATGCAAGGATAGGTGTTGTAGAGAAATAATTTTTCAGTTTCTCTCCAAGGGTACAGAATTCATTATCCTCTGTAACTGCTCAGAGGAGTGATATTAATAAGCCCATCTGCTTTGACCCTAATTGTAATGAGGAACAGAGTAAGTAGAAAAACAAGATGCTGTGCAGAGGCTGAGTTATCAGGAACAGATGGCAATTCATATCAGGAAGGTAGCTGGGGTGCCCCTGGGAAAGATGGCGTGCGGCTGGCTGTGATAAATACTGTGAGAAGTGACAGGTCCCCTCCTGGATGCACCTTTCAGAGTGATGAGCTCTGGAGGAGGGCATGGTCTGACAACATAACACTAGTTACATGTTGGAATATAAGCCAATGGGACTAAATGGAATAGAGCCCAAGTCTGCATCAGCCCCTGGGGTTCGGGAGGTGGAGTGCAGGAAATCATTCCCCAGAAGTCCTATAACATGCTGGGCAGCTGGACAATGGCCACAGAGCCTCAGTGGTGAAAACACTATGTACTGAAACTCTCTTTAGTGTGAGATAATATTAGATTCACTCAAGTGACACGTAAGTCTCAGAACAACATGAAAAATTACAAAGGGTGGATTATGACCAAAACTTCTTTGCTACTTGTAGAATGACTGAATTCCCAGGGACTCAAGTGACTACCCCACACCATCTCCCTCCACACTACCCTTCTCTAGGAGCTGGACTGTTATTTCCGCTAGGCTCCTTTGCTTCACTGAGAATGAACACCATGCCAAAGACTGAAGGGTTTAGTACCAGACCAACTCCAAGATTTGATAAATCTTCCAGAAAGAGTTGAGGCTGGTGGAACATACAAGCTGTAAGGTATCACACACAGAACATCACCCTTGGTATTATCATGGGAGATGCAATCCTCCAGCCCTCACTCAAAACCTTTTGAGCTGCTGACCCCAAGGAAAAAAATAAGTTCAAACAAGATTAATCACATATTTCTGTTAGGGAAAGAAGAGTGAATACAGAAAAAAGAAGCTCGAATAACTACAAGGTTAGCCACCGTATGTGTTTCAGTAAAACGTTAGATAAGGTTTGCAGTGTCATGCTGGAAACAACCATCAAGCATTTTAAATGTATCACACCTCTGCATATAATTTCTAATTCTGCTAACGATAAAGAACTTTGGTGACAGAATTAGAACAGGAGCTATGCACGTTCTACAAAACGTAGATTCAATACAAAAAGTAAGATGCTATATGCCAGTGGTTTTTGTTTGTTGTTTGTTTCTCTTAAACATATTGAACATAGTCAGTTCCAATTTATCTATTTTCCAGTAAATCTTGATGAGCCCAGTGAAAGAGTTTCATAATGCAAGTTCAAGAAGCACACTTAGTGAACATCTATGACACTGTTTCTTCATTTGAATGCCCCCTTCCCAGCATGGCTTAACTGGCAAACTGAGATTTCACAGCAGTGAGTGAAAGGACAGGCAAACGAAGAGAAACACACGCTAGAACGGACCAGTATTAAAAAGGGTGCTGGTTAGGTAAGCCATTTCTCCACACAAGGAAACACCATGCATGCCCATGGCAGTGTTAGCACATTGGCTCCTGAGACCCAGGGTGTACACACAGGTTGAGAAGGCCTTCCAAAAATTGAGAGGAGATAGGAATCGGGGCTTTCTTGTCAGCTTTTTTTTTTTTTTTTTTTTTTTGTCCAGTTGTCTACCTTGGACCCTGTTTTATCTGAAACTAGGGTCTCAGGAGAAGGCGGAAGGGGACTCGGAACTGAAGGCAGGTTCCTGAAGGAATAGGATCCTTTCCGACTTTCATTAAACCATGAGAAAGGCATGCAAGGAGAGCGAGGAGAGGCCTGAGCCGCGGGGGCAGGCTTGGCTTTCCAGTTCTCCAACTTGCTTCTGAAGACCCTGTGGTGTGAAAAGAATGACCATGTTAGACAGAGAAATGGCAAAAGACATACTGAGCCCAATTCCAAAGAGACTCTCTACACAGGTAGAAACTGAGAAACTGTTCTATTTAGGATAGTAAAAATGGAACAATTTGGGCAATTGCAGTAACCTTAATACTTTCCTTTTTGCATTTTAATGGAAACTATGATAGCACATTGTTTTGAACTGCTATTTCCATAGTGAAATTGTACTAAATGTGCTTTTGTAAGTATACACGAATGAATTAAAATCAGAGTGGCAGTCTTTCAGAGACTGCTTCTAAGACGGTCATCAGGCGAGTGGCACTAGCCCATAAGCAGCATCCTTCCTGCCTACCTCTGGATTCATCTCCCTGTGTCTATGACGGAAAGATTCAGTGATTTGGAAATTTCGGAGCGTGTGTTATGTTAAGCAGAACATGAAGGCTTTTCATCAAAAGCTCAGTGTCTTTTCACAGGAGGACTATAGGGCCTGAAGTCATCATGGATCACTTGGAAACTGAGGGTCTAACACCTCCTGAGTGTGTGGCCTCAGGCCTTCTCTGTCCCTCTGTCCTGATCTATAAAAAGCGAGTATTTTGATGTATCTCACAAATGACTTCCATGAATTAAGTAGCTTAATATTTGTTAAAGAGCCATGAAAGTCACTAAAGGTCTAGAAATAGTTAAAGATTCAAAGGCAGTTGAAAACAGTTTTTCTTTTTTAAAATTAGTGTAGGTACTATCATATTTGTATTCATCTCTTTGTGCAGAGGCTGAAGAAGAAAA